CTCTGCCCAGCATATGAAAAATACACAAGCTTGGCTCTGCCTTTAGGGTCCATCGTTGTAAGACCATCAACAACCAATCAACCATGGAGAAGATGCTGAAGGTCAGACCCTCAAAGTCAGGAATAAATTCAAGTTGAAAGAGAATCTTTTTTATTAGAAAGCTGGGCAGGAGCTGGAAGTCAGGAGGCAGCACAGATGGGTTTGTTGGATTATTGGCCTCTTAAGACCAACAGGTTTAGGCAGGAAGGGATGAGCAGTAGGAGTGCCCCAAACAGGGGCAGAAAAGCCTTAGTGGCTTGAAGCTGGAGAAGGCTAAATAGAGACTGTGGGCTGAGCTAAGGGAGCTGGGACATAATTGGCAGAGGAGGGAGTTTGATATTAATTGGTAGTGAAGGGAAGTCACTAGAGCACAAATTGGGGTCGGTGGAGCAATTGCTGACTCCACTGCTGGCGGGTTGCCTTGGTATGGGGGAATGGGCTCTGCCCAATTTTCCCTTCCATTAACTGGCTCTGGCCAAATCCACTGTCCTGCTTCTGGTCCCTGAAAGCACTTGATCATCTCATTCAAGATAAATACATGGCAACTCATGTACTGTGTTTCTTTGCATGCATTTAGGTAGCAGGAGGCAGCATGAGTTGAGGGAGAACAGCTTGAGAACAGAAAACCTGGTTTCTAGTCTAGGTTTTGCCAGCCAAACGTGACCTAGGACGTTACTTCTCCTCTCTGGATCTCACCTATATAGAGAGGGTTGTGCCCGATGATCCCCCAGGTCTCTTCTCATGCTAGCCTACTGTGATTTTTATTATTCTAAGACTCTGAAGGAGGCTACTCCTCTGCTCTGATACTACCTTGGACTTCTCCAACCCATTAAACAGGTGGATTTATCCAGACTATAAAAAAGATTGGAGCTATCTCAACTATCTACAAGACAGTGTACCTATCTTTTCACAGCCTTGCCAATCTGGACCATTTCTGTTTTTTGTCATCATTTACATTCTGATATAAGGTGTAAAGTATGGCCTTGGAGTTTTAACCTATATTCCAATTATTATTAAAATTGAAGCATTTCATGTGGTCTGCTGATGTAATTCCTTTGAGAACTATTCATATCCTTTGAGCAGTTATTTATAACTGTAAATCTGTGCAATTCTAGAAAAATTTGGAACTATGTGAGAAAAATCACTAAACTGTTTCTATTCATTGATACCACTACTGGGCATTGTACCCCAAGGAGGTCCATGGCAGAAAGACCTCATATATAGCCAAATACTCATATCAATATTTTGTGGAAAACTGGAAACATAGTGAGTGCCCCCTGATAGGGAAGGGGTTGGGACAAACTGTAGTATGTGAATATAATGGAGTATTATTGTGCCAAGAGAAACCACAAATTTGAGGAATTCAGAAAAACATGGGAAGACTTAGAACCAGGAGAACGATGTGAGCGGCGACTACATTTAAAAGCAGCTGTATGTTGAATAATTACATTGGCCAAAATCTGTTCTAGAGAACAGATGAAAAAACATTAACTTCCTACTCTAGGCAGAGGTGAGGAACTACAGATACAGAACGTGGCATATTTTCCCAGATGCAGTCCCTACTTGCTTAACTGTCTTTGATACAAGGGAGGGATTCAGGAGTGGTGGATATCAGGAAATAACTGTGGTATAAAACAAAAAGGCATGAATAAAACATTAAAAAAAAATGTGGGCTGGTTTTACCCAGGTGGCCCCAACCTCATTTTAGTTGTCATCATTAAGGGATTTGGGGACTAACTGAGGCCCTTAGGAGGCAAAGTGATCCCTGTTTCCAAGTCTCCTGGGTTTGGGGAATTACCAAATACTGTTGAGTACAGATTCAGGTAAATGGAACACTTAGGGGCACTGTTACTGAGTTGGGTGGAGCCTGAGCAAGCAAAGGCAGAACCTGGGTCTCAATTACGCAAGGTCTGCTGGGGCCCCTTCCCAAGATGTCCTTGAGGATAGTGGCCTCAAGCAAAGGCAATCAGGTCATAAACTGGGGCAAAGAAGCCCTTAGGAGTAGGCACAGGGGGCTGGGGAAGACGCTGTTCCCCCTCCTCTCCTTATCAGGCCCTAAAAGGGCTGAACTGGTGCTCTCCTGCCCTTCAGCCCCAGGATGAGCCAGCTCATACCACACTGGCCTTTGGCTAGCTCATTTGTGGGACAGGAGGTCAGGTGCCCATGGAAAAGGGAACAGCAGGTTCACTGGTACTTGGTGCAGCAAGAATGAAGAAAACAATGTACTGACACTAGAGACATTCTTCACTCAAAAATGGATAAAGGTGTCTTCTTCCTGTCATTAGAGACTGGTTCAGTCAGAGATGAAAAAACAAACCAAACCAAACCCAGCTTAGGACTGGCCTGGTTCAGCAGGAGATCATGGGGCTGGGGGAGGGGCTTTTCCGAGGGTACGGAGAAGACCTGGCATACAAGGCTCCTCTTGATGGCTAAGCCCCGATATTGGTTCCAGCTCTCATCCCTTCTAGTCTCGTATGGCCATAATATCATAAAGGAACCCCACAGAGATACTCTCACCTAAATGAGATCTTTTCTGATTCTCTTCCTCACTCTGGTCCAGTTATGAGCCCTCTTATCATTCCTTTTTATCTACTTATTTCTATATATGTTGAGTATCCTCCCTCAACAAAATGTGAAATCCTTGAGGGTAGGTGAAATCCGTGTCTTTGTAATCTCAACCCTCAGAACAATGCTTTGCACACAGCATGTGCTTCATACATGTCAGGTACTGAAAATGAATGAAGGTCTGACACAGCCAAACACATAAACCAGGGCCCAGCACTTTTAATTCCAGTTGGGGACTCTGTGCCTGAATGCACCTTGGGGCCCAGCTAGGCACCACAGCACTGGAAGGCACAACAGGAAGCAAACATCAGGGTATCACCAACATGCCCTCTTAACACAACAAAACAAAAAGGTGGGGGACAAGAGTTCAAGGACAAATCTGACAGCCTATGCAGGCAGCAATGCAGGCCCCATTAGTAACCATCGTCAGCCCAGGTGACTTCATAGTTGGGGTAGTGAGCTTTGATTTTTTCCGTTGACAGAGAATGTTGAGCACGTCCAAAACCCTACAGAAAGGAGACAATACTGTCAGATTCTTGGGTCTCTCAGGGATCCTGACTCCTCTGTCCCACAGCCCTTACCCTCATCCACCATGATGCCCCATATATCCCATGCCTACCTCAGAGCACACCCCAAGACAGTTGATGGCAAATCTCCAACTCTACTCCTAGCTCTAGGGCATGGAACTAGTCTCTCACCCCAAGCTTAGGGTCTCAGCCTTTGGACCTTTTCATACATTTTCCCTCTTCTTTTCCCTTCCACCTTCTCTCCAGCCCATACATATTTTCCTTTCTCAGTAGGGAAACAGGCTCACAGATTTAGAGAAAGAAGGGACCTGAGAGGTTATAACTCTCAGTCTAATTCCTTTTATTTTTCATTTAAAGTTTATTTTTTTATTCTGAACTCTAATACCAAAAAAAAGGGAATATCCATATACATAGCAGAACATAAAAAGATGACTGAATGTGAAACTGTGAATCTCTATTACTCACTTTTCAAAAAAAGTATATAATAAATTCTACATATTACTTTCAAAACTGTCCTGCTTGTCTGTGCTTTTTTCTCCAAATTCCTCATATTACAGATGAGGAAATGAAGCCCAGAAAAGCTAAGCGACTTGCCCAATATCACACAGAAAGTAAATCAAAAGGCTAGGATATGAACCTCAGGTCCTATGATGCAAAATTCAACATGCTTTACATTGTATCACAGAAATCAGTTCTAAGGCTCTGAATGCCATGAGCCAGGCCAGCAACATGATCTTGTTGCTCTAAGGTCAGGGGTATTCTGGGTGCCAGTGTGGGGGAGGATGGACTCTTGCTGCTGGAGAGACAGACAGAAAAGGGATAGGTTGGTAGGGCCAGTGTAGAATCTGACAAGAGGGGCACCCTGTTTAAAACAAAATAATATATGTAAAGAGCTATGCAGAGCTTAAAGTGCTATATAAGTGTTAACTGTTATTATTTCTTAACCCTGAAGAAACAGAAAGGAAACAAAAGAAGGGAAGTGGACAAATGAACCTTCAGTCTCTCAGGGGCATGATATCTCACCAGCTAACAGGTATTATGGCCTCTTTACAGAGATCAGGGGAGACTCAGACATATAAGTCCTAATTACCACCACAGAGCCAGTGACCCAATTAAGGGCAGGCCAAATTATTATTATTTTTTTTTTTGGCTAGGCAATGGGGTTAAGTGACTTGCCTGGGGTCACACAACTAGTAAGTGTTATGTGTCTGAAGCAGGATTTGAACTTAGGTCCTCCTGAATCCAGGGCCGGTGCTCCATCCACTGCACCACTTAGCTACCCCCAGGCCAAATTCTTAAGGAGACAGTCAATCCTCTAGTGTAGACTAGCCCTCAGCTGAAAGTTGAAGCCTTACCCTGCTCTTCCAACCCAAGGGAAATGAATGGCCAATGTGCACAAATCAGGTGAGAGTTCTCAGGTCAGGTCTGGGGACAATGTCTTTCCTTTCCACATCATAGTTAGTGCCTTTTCATAGATGGACCTTGTTTCATATACTAGATGCCCTTTTGCTTGGAGTCATGTGCCCTTTGAGTTGTTGTTGCAGGAATGGGGATGGGTTTTCCTAAGCCATCCACATTCTCTAGTCAATGACCAATAACATATTTAGTTAGAGTAATAAAAATTCCCCCCTTAAAGAGATCTCATATTTTTTATTAGACCTATAATTTCATCAGGGTAGGGAGACCCTGTTGAAAACTTGTACCAGTTCAGATCAGCACCTTGAGAGACACCCTTGGGCTCCATACTTAATGTTTATTGACTGACTGAGAAGTTAAGTGACTTAGTCTTCCTGACTCAGAGGCCACCTTGATTCATTCTATACCACACTACCTTAAAGATCTCACATAGCAATATATTTTGTCACTGTTTAATGCACTAATCATGTAATGTTATATATTATAACGATCTGTGTTTGAATCAT